CACCGGGATGGCGCCGGCAGCAGCGAGCCGGGCCCGGCCGCCCGCAGCCCCGCAGCCGATTTCCTCCTTTGCCCGGCGTCGGCCTGCCCGGTAGGTGACACCCCAGTGTCCTTGGCTCTGTGCTTGCTGCCCAGGAGATGCGGTGAAAAAGGAAGCTAAAACTGGTGGCCGATTCTGAGTAGATGCTGGGCTCTCCCCCACCTCATCTTGTGTTGCCTGGAGTGTCCTGTTAAGCATTTTGGTGCAAACTACGCATTAAGTGTTAAATTCACTGCAAAATAGTGATGAGAAGTGTTCTGTGCTCCATGCACACCTTCTTGGATGCTGGAAGTTGTGTCCATGCAGCCAGCCTGGCAGAAATCAGATGTAAGAAAAGATTCCCTGGCAAGAGAAATTTCAAAACTTTTGCAACCCCCTGGGACAGCTCATTCCTTGCCTGGTCCTCATCACGAGCAGCTGCACTGGCAGCTCTTCTGCGTTGTTAATGGTAGCTGATGGGTGGTGAGCTCTTGCACAAATCTGACTTTAGGCTCTGCGTGAGCTGACAAAACAGCGCCAAGCAGAGGAGATTGACACTAGTCAGCGCCAAAGGACTTCGCTCAGTTAATGACCCAGATGAGAGGAGGTGAAAACATTGACTGGACAGGAAAAACAAAGCAGTTCTCAGAAAGAAAGATCCTCGAGACACATGGCGTCCCAAAGCAGGATAGCATTCACAGGGGCTTAGGTGAGCTCAGACTGCACCGAATTCCACCCATCATTGCCTGCAAAGGGGGGGATCCACTTGCATTTGCTTTCAGGGAATCTCTTTGAACAGTCCTGTCCTCTGTCCAACTCTGCCTTGTGACCGACTCGTCTTTGCACCCTAGCGAGTGTAGCGCGTCCTTGGTACCCCCTCAGGAGCTTCTCTGTTTGCTCCTTACTTCTTTTGGCTCTCCCCCAGTTATCCTGTTTCCACCGCTTCCTCCTGGAGTTGGACCAGTTTGACTAATCTATGTATAACATACGGTGTCAACAGGAAATTCCCTCCTGCCTTTGCATGACTCATGGAGCGACTTGCATTCCCGATCCGAGAGTAAACAGAGGCTCCCTATGCTTTGGGAATCCCACTTGTCGCCGGAGGGGTGGTGGTGACGGTGCCGCTGGGGTTTAGTTTGGCATCACCATAAAGGGCTCCTTGGAAGCAGCAGAGGGAAGTGGAGCAGTTGCTGCTGGTGGGACGCAGCCCTGGAAGGGCCGCTCCGTGCCCAGAGCAGCTGCTCCGTTTTGCAGCAGCCCTGAACACGGTTGGATTTTGCTCCTGCTGTTTCTTGGGGAGCAAAGACATTGCGAGGAATGTGCTCCTTTTTCTGAGCCGTTCTATGATTTTAGTGTGAAGGAACCAATTAATATATATTTTTGCACTTAAAGTCACACCAGTTCTTTGCAGTATATCCCATGAGTGCATTTGGCCCTACAGTGGCAGCTAAGGGACACTCTAAATTGCCCTTGACTGTATTTTAACATGGTCAGAAAGTGATTTTCCTGGAGAGGGGAACGAGGCGGTGACTTTGCTTGGCAAGACGTTGGGCAGATCTTTTCCTTGGAGCTCTGTAGGGCTCCATGAGAGCTTGGCAGACTTTGCCAGCTGCAAACACCGTCCCTTCCAAGATTTCTTTAAGGGAGACATCAGTGTCTGTGCTCAGCGTGGGGAGGATGGGTGAAGTGGTGATGAAGACCGCCCAGCACGAGGCAGCTGCTGCATCAGGGCATGAGGACACGCTGTGCTCGGCTGTACGCAGCCGCGATCAGCTCTCTGAAATGGGATTTACCCTCTGACCGTGTGCGGCCTCTTAGCCCGAGCAGCCCAAATCCACGTGCTTTGCTGTGGGGTTGTTCCCAGGAAGGGGTCACTGCAACTGTGTGTGTCTGAGGTGTAAGGTGCTGAGCTTGATGCTGGGTTTCTTCTCAGCAGAAAAGGAAGAGTTGGATCTCGGAGGAGGATATCTACAGGCCGTCTCCGGGACAGGGCCCAGCCGACGTCCACGGTTTTGCACTGGATGGGGAAGAAGCGGCTCCCAGCACGGGGCTCATCAGCGCCCTGGATCTGGAGAGGCCGTCCCTGGAGGGCGGGAAGCCCAGGCTGGCACTGGCCGGGGAGCAGAAGGGCTTCAGCGTCGTGCACCGCCGGCAGACGGGTACGTGGCCCCCTGCTACCCCGGGGCCCTCCTGCGGTAACGGGGCGTCTTCCCTGCGCAGCACCCAGCGCCAGGGTGGCTGCTTCGGGTTAGTGCCTGTTTGTGAAGCAGCCGTTTCCCGTTGCTGAGCTGATGGCATCAGCTGAGGCCTCCAGAAGGCAGCAGCAACCGGTTGTTTTGGACTCCTGGCGTTCCTGAGCCTACATTAGCTTTGGTGGAAAACGTTTTAAGGGGAGGGCAGGTGCCCAGGGTGCCTCTTCCCGATGGCTCTGTCTACCTTATGGAGCAGATTTCCTTCATGCCTTCCGTCCCCTTCTCACAGTTGGGACTCAGCAGCTGGGATGCCTCTGGCTGGCACAGGGGTGCATGAGCTGCTTGCTGGCTCTTCTCTCTCTTCTCCATTTTCCTCTTTGGTTATACTGAGACCTCTGCTCTTCCCAAAGGTCTTTCCAATCCTTTCCGAGGGCTCCTGAAACTGGGCAGCCTGGAGCGGAGAGGTGCCATGGGCATCTGGAAGGAGTTCTCCTGTGAGCTGTCGCCGCTGGAGTTCCGGCTCTTCCTGGAGCACGAGGACCGGATCTGTGTGGAGAGCTACTCCCTGCTGCGGTGCGAGGCGCTAGCCCTGACACACTCCGATGGCCGCTTCGAGCTGGTTTTCTTGGGGAAAAAGCTGTGCCTACGAGCTCCTTCTCGGGACGAGGCTGAGGACTGGTTAGACAGGATCCGGGAAGCGCTACACAAGTGCCGGCCTCAGCTGGAGGAGGAGGAGTGGGAAACGCTAGAGTATCCAGAGGCCAGCGGCGAAGGGCAGGCTGGAGGCAGCCACTCGGCCTCTCCCCTCCACTCCGATGTGCCTGGAAACAGCCTTGACTGGACCGCAACCCATGAACCAGAATTGGATGCGATAAAAGAATCTGTTCTTTATGTGGATGTGGATAAAACATGGGTCCCTTTTATTTTTTCCCTGTCGTTAGAAACTTTAAAGTGCTTTAAAGTGAGGAACAAGGACAAAATTTTAAGTAACAGTTACGGTATAGAGACGATCCAGGACATCCTTCCAGACACGAGCCTTGGGGGACCTGCATTTTTCAAGGTCATAACATCCAAAGCCGTCCTGAAGCTGCAAGCACAGAGCGCAGACGAGGCCGCATCGTGGAGGAAGCTGGTCCGGACTGTGCTCATGTCCTACCTGGAGAGCGCGGAGGAGGCGCTGACCCTGGGGGGCAGCTTGGATGGGAACTCTCAGATGGTCCTGAAAAACATTGTGAAGGAAAACGGCTTCTTGTTACAATACCTGGTGGCCATCCCCGTGGAGAAGGGCCTGGACGCTCAGAGCTTCATCTGTGCAGGTATGTGTTGCCTTGTGCAGATGGACGAAGCCCAGCTCAGCCTTGGAGGTTAATGTTTTGTTCATTAAGGTTAACGAGGTTACTTCGGTGTTCAGGAGATGCTGGGAACAGCCCGTGCACTGCAGGGGTGAATCCTCCGCCCCACAACAGCTTCCAGGGTTGAACGGGGCTGCTGCTGGAGTCCTCTTTAAGAGGTTCCTGGTATGGACAGTCGGAGGCCTTGGCTTTAAGGCAACCTTAGGTGGCTTCACGTGGCCGAGAGGTCCGTGACTCTTTTGCTGGATGTTTCATGGCCGCGATCCGTGGGGTGAGTACAGTGAAGGGCAGGCCAGGAGGGAAGAGCAGCACTGAGATATGGGTGTGACAAGCTGGTTTGGAGAAAAGTTCCCTTCCACTAATTGGAACATTGGGGTAATTAATAGGGTATAATAGCATTGACTTAATAGGATAACACTCACTAACCTCCATGGGCGGTATAATTTGTTACCTTTTTAAGGTAGCTGCACTTCAGGTTTCTCTCCTGCTCCCAGTATGCTTCTTGCACCCTCCACGTTTTCCAGCAGCTCTTACAAATTTCTCTTTCTTATATTTTCCATCAACTTGGCTTTGGTTTTGCTCCCTTCCTTCACCTTCAGCTCCCTGCAGGCCGTCCTGCATTTTCCGCCTACCAATAGATGGAAGCAGCAAGCCGCAGAGACAGATCACACCTCCCGGCTGCTTGGTGAAGGTTCCTCTTGGTTCCTGTCTGCCCTTTGCACCAGGCCAGCTGCAGGGTTTTATTTCCCCTCGAGGCCAGCTGGGGAGTTGCAGTGGAGCCCCAGGCCTCTGCCAGTCTCACACCTATGCGTGGCACTGCCGCTTGGCACAGCGGCGGTTTCCTTTGTGTCGAGGTGTGACAAACTAGAAGAAATAGGGGCTTTGCAAACAAAAAAGCAACATCTGTAACAACCATATAAATAGCAGCACCTGAGCTCTAGAGGTTTTGCTAAACCCCACATTTCAGCTACCCAAAATGGGAATGACTGAAATGCAGAATGTTTGGTAACCCCAGCTCTGCGGGGCAGACGCAGCCTGAGGCTGCAGCCATCGGAAATCAGAGATTCACTTATTCTGTCAGTTATTTTAGAGAAGTGAAACCATTAAAAATAGCACAAAAGAGTTTCCACGTCTTCATGACTCCAAATTAGAAGCACTCGCTTCTGAGGCTTGAGGCAGGCTCCTTGGGCTGCGCATCACTCTAGGATGGAGGCGGCTTCTGCTTCATTCGCCCCGTGCTCCTCACTTGCATGTGAGGATCCTGGGGGTGTTTTTGGCACCGTGCAGGGGTAATGTGAGAGACAAGGGCCGAGTGAAGGCAAAATAGAATGAACAAAGTTACTGACAGAGATAATGGAGCCATAGGAAGGGTTTAGGTTCTCCGCCAGACCACTGTGGTGTTTCCACAGTTTACTTTTGGGAAGGAAATCTAAACTGAACTGTTTGATGAAGAAATACGTAGTGGATTTGGGACGAGACTCTCCTGTCCCCAGAGAACATGCGAGGTGGCTCCTGTAGGATGGTCATGGCCTGTGTCACGGCCCCTCACGGGTGGGGAAGGGGCTGGGGAGCTGAGACCGGAGGCACCTATAGCAGTAGATGTTCTGTGGGCAGGGCCTGCGGGTTGGACCTGTCTGATTTTGCCTGGTAAACGCCACCTTTGACTGCAAACTTTGTTCCCCTATCTGCAATATTGCCTCCTTTCTTCTCCTACAGCCCAGTGCAAGCAAAAGCGAGGCGGTTTGCCAAGCATGGGCTCTTGCTTTAGCTGATCTTCAAGCCTTTCAAAAGTTTTCTCACCCTGTTCCCTCCCCGCCAAGGCTTTGGTGTCCCCCCCGCATCGTGGCAGCACTGGCACTGGGGTTGGGGGCAGCACCGGCCCCTCTCACCATCTCCCCTCTGCTCCCTCAAGGCTGCTCCAGGCAGATCGGCTTCTCCTTTGTGAAGCCCAAACTCTGCGCGTTCTCCGGCCTCTACTACTGCGACAGCTGCCACCGGGATGACGAGACGGTGATTCCCTCGCGCCTCATCCACAACTGGGACCTGATGAAGCGAGGGGTGAGTCTGCAGAGGGTCCCACTCGTGGCCGGAGCGCTGCAAGGATGGCCCAGCCCTGCGGAGGGCGGTGGGGACGGGAAGAGGCGTCCCAAGAAGCGGATTCTGCTGTGGGAAGAGTGTCTGGGAAAGCTGAGGGGTGAACTCAGCCCGTGTTCAAGGGTCGGGGTTGTAGCCTGGACCTCCCGCAGGTCCCTCTGGTGGCTTCACTCTGAGCAGAGGTTTCCTCCTCCCCTCTGCTCCCCTCCGAAGCCCCCCTGGCTGCAGCGCACGGGTGGCCTCTCTCTCCGCTGCAGGTTTGCCGGCAGGCTCTCAAGTTCCTGACCCAGATCCGTAACCAGCCGCTCATCAACCTGAAGCTGGTGAACGAGAGCCTCTACGAGCACGTGGAGAGGATGAGCCGCATCTGTCGGAGCCGGGAGCAGCTGAAGCTGCTCGGAGATTATCTCATCATGTGTCGCAGCGGGGCCCTGAAGGAGCTGAGCAAGCGGTGAGGTCCAGCTCTGTCACAGAATCTCTTCTCCTACTTTTCATGACTGTCGTGGTTGCTGCGGTGCGTTTGAGGAAGTCGGAGCCCCCGGGGGACAACCAGGGGTCGTGTCCCTGGTCCGTGGGACTCTTCCCCATTGCTTATCCCTTGATCAGGGAACGGTGCTGTCGGGATGTGGGTTGTTTTTGAGCTCTGTGTCATCTGCCATAAGGAGTTACCCATCTGTTTGCTGGCTGGGCACATTGAGATGTGACTAAGGAAACACCTTCCTGAACCAAGGAGGCCTCTCACTGGACAGGAAACACCTGGGAAAATAGATGTGCTTTCTTTCCCCTTTGAAATGCTCTCACACGTTTTCAATGGCAGGATTTGGGATCTGTTGCGCAATGTAAAATCAGGCTTGCAGTAACTTTCCGCAGAGGCCACATTGCCTGGGCTCCTCCTTACTCTGAGGCTGTTGAGGATGTAGTAGAAGTCATCTAATACGTTCTCTTCTGTGCTTGTTTGAAGGCTTGATCACAGGAACTACCTCTTGGAGTGTCCTCACAAATACAGCGTCAGTGATTTAAGGCAGGTGAGAGCTTTGCATTGCTGCAGGGTTTGATCAGTCTCTCTGGTGTCCAGGTGAGACACTAGGCCCCAAAGTAGCCACAGGGGGGTTGGATTGCATTTGACCGTGTCTTTCACCTGCACGTGGCAGCGTGAAACACAGACGTTTCCATGTGAGGAGCAGCCGAGTGCAGAACTGGACAGAGAAGGTTCCGTGTGCTGACATGTGTATGTCCCTGCTCTGCAGATAGCTGAGGGCGTCTTTGAGACATTCCTGCAGTCTTTGATCCAGTTTGCTTCTCATCATGTCTACAACTGCGACCTGTGCACCCAGAGAGGCTTTATCTGCCAGATCTGTAACCGGAGCGACATCATTTTTCCCTTTGAGTTTGACATGACCATCAGGTGAGTGACGTTTCCATGAGGTCTCACTGTTGCGAGATCTCTCACACTTATTTCTTAGGTAGTGGCCTCGCATCTGGCCTGTGCTTGGCTTTTCACAGGCATCGAGATTGTCCCCTTGGTCCCTCCCAGGCGCTCGGAGCGGGCACTCTGCTTTCTAGGTCGGCATCTGCAGGTGCCCACAGGATGACCAGTTGCTTGCTGGCCACTATTAATAGAAATGGTTGTGTGCCCGTTGACATTTCCTCTTTTCTGAGAGCTTTGAGGCCAAGGCCTGACCACGCTTACACAATAATCAGGTGCCTTCAGTGACTCAAAGTTTATCTGAACCCAAAAAAAAGGCACATTTTGGGTAAGAGGAAGGGCAAGTCTAGCGAAACTGAGCTGTGACCAAGTGCATGGTGGAAGGGAGGAGGGCAGAGAGGCTTTGCAGAGCAATGGCAGCGTCTGTGTTGTTTCCACTGACACAACACCTTGCTGCCAGCCTGCCAAGGGCTCGCGGGTGCTGGATCCCGGGGCAGAGCGGGGCTGCCAGGAGTACGGATGAGCACGGGCTTGGAGAGTGGGACCATTCCCTGCTGGAGACGAGAGAGGCTACAGGGGCTGGGCAGGGGCCTGTGTGAATCCCAAGGGGAATAACGTGTTTTCATGTGACTTTTTCTACCTGTGGGGCTCACTGCTGCTGGGTGGCATGAGGTTCAGCCGCTGAGCAGGTTTTGACCCAGG